TTTTTACTAGGAGTAGCTCTGGGGTGAGCGACTCTTTAAAATAACCTTAAAAAATTTCTAAACACCGGATGGGTGGAACCAGTTCACAACAAGTATTTTTTAAACTTTTTTTTTGATAAACTATCTCTGTGAAAAACTTAGAAACAACCAATCATGATCCATAACTAACACAATTACAATAATTTGTATCAAAGCAGAATAAATTCAACTTAGCAAACTTATATATATTAAAAATGAAACAATATTAGCAGACAATTGATGAAAAAAAATTTGCAGACAATTGATGAAACAATATTAGCAGACAATACAGATTATGTATAGGACCCTGTATTTTTTTTTAACTTCGTAAATCATATTTCAAGTGCTGCATTTATAAGTATATCCGTACACAGAGATTATCTAAGAGTAGCTCCTTTAACAACTGACACCACAACCTTAAATTATAACGCAAAATTTATTCAAAGGACAAGAAAAAAAGTTTAAATTCAACATTTCTCAATACACAGGAAACCCTTAACGGTACCAAAAATTTTACACAAAAAGATATGCAAACTCCATCACATTTTTAAAGCGAAGAACTAGTTGAAACACAACCTATAAGAACACAACAAACTATCTCTCCTATTCATCCAACACTTACACCACCACACAAAAAATAAAACTCCTTTTCCATCAGTGACCTTACAATCAACAGTCCCAAAATATTTACATATGGATTAACAAACAAATAGACCAATAACTAAAAAGCGATAATGACAATAAGGACACTCAATTTGAAATACCTTCGCAAGACATAGTTATGATTTTTTCGCAAATAATAACATTAGTTATCCAATAGCACGACCCCTCTATACAACAAAAAATCATTTTCAAAAACACAATTATATCCAACAGGCACCAAAACCAATAACCCAATGTGTAACTTTTAGTGACAAAAAAACTTCAGACAGATTGAACTGAAAACTATCCATTTTTTCAACAAAATAAAAAGTCAACCCGAAAAACAAGCAATTCATTAGAAACCAAGCAGACACCTCTGAAGATGAAGATTACTTTCATCAAAACCAACAACAATACAAAGCAATTAACAAAAAATCACTGGAATACTATAGTTCAACCAGTTGATAATTTTCAACCAGAGATTTTCGAACCTTACATAAACTCTCAACAACCAAGGCAATTACAACAACAATCTTTTCAACGACAACACATTCTGGATACTCAGTAGAAGACGACTAGAAGTGCTGTTAAATCTAACCTAATCCTAAACAAAGGCCCGAAACCTATAAACACACCACTTCATCAAAAATGGGTTCACATCGCACAGCACTGATGCAAACCACACTCGATGGCGGAGCCCGAAAATGGTTTTCAGTAACACCACTAGAAGTTAAATCCGATTGAAATTTATTGACTCAACGTTATTCAAAAACATTTGACTCTGAACGAAATAAACAACATCAAAAAGTTTTGTGCAACGAAAGTTGTAGACTTCCGATTGAAACCATAAAACAAATCGCAGTAAGAAACAAAACCCTAGTACGCAAACCTTATTCTTTCAATCCTTATGATTACAAAAATATGAAAGTGAGATAAATTCTAATGATGACCTTAGCACCACAATTAATAAAAAGAATCACAAGCATCATAAATCCGAGAATCTTAAATAGATTTCGAAAAACTAGTAGACAAGTTAGAACAAGTTGAAATCATCAGGAAACTACAAGAAAAAGAAAATTTAAAGCTACAAAAATAGAAAATGTTCAAACAACTACTTCCCATTATACAAAATTCATGACTTCGACAACGAATTAGCAGAAAAAATTACTGAAATCCTGAATGTCTATGAAAAGAATCCAAATTTTGAGGGCAAGCCTTCATTCAAAAATGGTGTAACTATTGTCGCAGATTCGGACATAGCATTGCTGAATGTAGACACAAACAACAAGATATTTTAAATAGACCACCAAAAAACAGAGAACTAAACATACCTTTTTACCAATACATGATAAAAGACCAGAGTTTTCTGAACAAAGGCCTGCATAGTAATAAAAGCTCAGGAAACCCACTCCCAAATAGCTATAATATTAAAAGATCAAAATCCCCCTGCTCTAAAAATTTTCGCGGAAGACCACTAGATCGACGATATTCACAAAACTGTTCACAAAATCGATATAGTAGATCAAATAGTCAAAAGGATCAGTACAGAAGTAATTACTCTAGATCGAACTCTAAAAGAAGTAATTACTCAATTTATAATAAAAATTGCTCATATTCAAACCGTTGGAGTAAAAACTATCCCAAGGACCGCTCAAGAACTTCTAGAAACGACCGCAATCGAAATAGATACTGCTCTTACAATAACTCACAAAACTATTCTGACAATAGACCGCATAATAATTAATTATAAAACTAGATCCCGTGATAATTCTAGAAATACAAACAGCAACTCAGATCAAAGCAGATCAAGAAAATTTTCTCAGTCTACGTATCCAAACAACTCACAATATTCAAGTCGACAAAATCAAAACTACAGAAGTAGTACACCAAAACACCAACGACAAAAAAATCAAGTAAAATCTAACAATCAACAAATGAAACAATCCCAGAACAAAGAGACGGTAAAACACTCCTCTGGCTTCACCCACCAGAACAACGTCGCTTCTGGTACATATGCCCACCATGTGCTAAAATCCCAACCCTCAACGCTCAATTTTTACTAGGAGTAGCTCTGGGGTGAGCGATTCTTTAAAATAACCTTAAAAAATTTCTAAACACCGGATGGGTGGAACCAGTTCACAACAAGTATTTTTTAAACTTTTTTTTTGATAAACTATCTCTGTGAAAAACTTAGAAACAACCAATCATGATCCATAACTAACACAATTACAATAATTTGTATCAAAGCAGAATAAATTCAACTTAGCAAACTTATATATATTAAAAATGAAACAATATTAGCAGACAATTGATGAAAAAAAATTTGCAGACAATTGATGAAACAATATTAGCAGACAATACAGATTATGTATAGGACCCTGTATTATTTTTTAACATCGTAAATGATATTTCAAGTGCTGCATTTATATGTATATCCGTACACAGAGATTATCTAAGAGTAGCTCCTTTAACAACTGACACCACAACCTTAAATTATAACGCAAAATTTATTCAAAGGACAAGCAAAAAAGTTTAATTTAAACATTTCTCAATACACAGGAAACCCTTAACGGTACCAAAAATTTTACACAAAAAGATATGCAAACTCCATCACATTTTTAAAGCGAAGAACTAGTTGAAACACAACCTATAAGAACACAACAAACTATCTCTCCTATTCATCCAACACTTACACCACCACACAAAAAATAAAACTCCTTTTCCACCAGTGACCTTACAATCAACAGTCAATTCATCAGTCGTCCCAAAATATTTACATATGGATTAACAAACAAATAGACCAATAACTAAAAAGCGATAATGACAATAAGGACACTCAATTTGAAATACCTTCGCAAGACATAGTTATGATTTTTTCGCAAATAATAACATTAGTTATCCAATAGCACGACCCCTCTATACAACACAAAATCAATTTCAAAAACACAATTATATCCAACAGGCACCAAAACCAATAACCCAATGTGTAACTTTTAGTGACAAAAAAACTTCAGACAGATTGAACTGAAAACTATCCATTTTTTCAACAGAATAAAAACTCAACCCGAAAAACAAGCAATTCATTAGAAACCAAGCAGACACCTCTGAAGATAAAGATTACTTTCATCAAAACCAACAACAATACGAAGCAATTAACAAAAAACCACTGGAATACTATAGTTCAACCAGTTGATAATTTTCAACCAGAGATTTTCGAACCTTACATAAACTCTCAACAACCAAGGCAATTACAACAACAATCTTTTCAACGACAACAGATTCTGAATACTCAGTAGAAGACGACTAGAAGTGCTGTTAAATCTAACCTAATCCTAAACAAAGGCCCGAAACCTATAAACACACCACTTCATCAAAAATGGGTTCACATCGCACAGCACTGATGCAAACCACACTCGATGGCTGAGCCCGAAAATGGTTTTCAGTAACACCACTAGAAGTTAAATTCGATTGAAATTTATTGACTCAACGTTATTCAAAAACATTTGACTCTGAACGAAATAAACAACATCAAAAAGTTTTGTGCAACGAAAGTTGTAGACTTCCGTTTGAAACCATAAAACAAATCGCAGTAAGAAACAAAACCCTAGTACGCAAAACTTATTCTTTCAATCCTTATGATTACAAAAATATGATAGTGAGATAAATTCTAATGATGACCGTAGCACCACAATTAATAAAAAGAATCACAAGCATCATAAATCCGAGAATCCTAAATAGATTTCGAAAAACTAGTAGACAAGTTAGAACAAGTTGAAATCATCAGGAAACTACAAGAAAAAGAAAATTTAAAGCTACAAAAATAGAAAACGTTCAAAAAACTACTTCCCATTTAGACAAAATTCATGACTTCGACAACGAATTAGCAGAAAAAATTACTGAAATCCAAATATATAATTATAGGAGATATAAGAGTAGGATTTAAATCGGTTTCAGACTAAAAAGTTGCTCGAATATATCCGGCCAAAAATAAGATAGCGTGACAAACAGACGGTGTACCTTATCTGAAATTACTCTATGACTGAGACACTCCGGACTTAAACTCAATTTGCCAGTTTTTGTAGAACATTTTAAAGACTTTGGCGCCCTTTCAAAAAAAACATCCCAAAAACGATAACGTTCTCGCGCACTTTTTGGAAGGTTTCGTCTAAAAATTGCCTTTTCACTCGCGCTAACGCAGCCCCAACGTTAATTGACTATTTGCCGAGCCGCTGTTTTTGTGATGGTTGGTGGTTGCGGGGCAGTCTTTTATTTTGATCCGAGAATCTCAAAGAGAACTTTTAGTCTTACATTTATTTTTCGTGTTCTTATGTTGTGAATAGGTTGCATCCGAAATGAAAAGCGACGAGAAAAATGACAAGAACAAAAACATAATCGACATAGAGGTTCCGAAAAAGTACAAGGAAGTGGAGGGCTGGGTGAGACAGTTGCGAGCAGACCTGAAAAGGGAAAACCAGGAGCCCATTTTGAGCGGACAGAAACTACGAGACAAGATAAACGGACATTTGCTGAAGCAAAACATGCGAGAATTAGATTCAGCTGAGTTTAACACCATGATGCAATTTATGCACGAAAACGGAATCATTTTGCACTACGAAAGCACTCTTCTGAATGACAAGTACTTCGTAGACCCGCAATGGATGGCCGATCAATTGGCCGAAGTGATCACCGTTAAAGAGAACAAAAACTACGGCAGCAGTGGAATTGCCAAAGTGAGTGACTTCTTAAGTCGCATCTCAAAAATTGCTGCAGTGAGTAAGTTCAAAACTTGGCCCAGTTTATTCATCCCGCTGCTGTCTCAGTTTGAAGTGGCTCTTAAGTTCAGTGAGAACTACATGTTGATTCCGTCGTCGCTGCCGACCGAGAAGGAACACATTGAGAGGTATGACAACCAGCTGAATCGCGACATCCCCACTGCTAGCGTCGTGGCACCAGAGTACTCGGGTTTTGCCGCCGTCTCATCTCTAGAACCGAAGCAAGGCCAATCGAGACGCAGAGGCATCACAAGGAAACACTACAAAGTTTTCAGCAAAGTTGAGATTCTAAAAGGGGAACCACCCCACGCGCGCGATCTGCTGGACACCGACAAAACTCTTCTGACACTTCACTTGCCCGAAGCAGAAAACGTGCGATGTCTTTCTAAGTTTATGATCTTTTCTTACATCCCATTCGGTTTTTGGGCTCGATTTATAGCCCGAATAATTTCAGACGAGCAGTTTTCGCTAACAGCAGGCGACATCTTTGGACAACAGTTTTCAAGTCAGTCGTCTGAAACAGGGAGTAATTTGTTTACACCATTGGTGGACTACGCGTTGAACTCTGGATTTAGCTGGCGCTGCTGGAAAACGGGCGTGGGGTTATTTCTGTGGAGCCACATTCCCGTTCTGGAAGTGAAAGAGGTTCTCTGCGAGGACCAATGCCGAGAAGTATCTCCTTTCGCCCAGCTGCCGGAAACAGTTAAGATACGAAAACACGTTCTCATAAACCCTCAAGGTCATATGGCTAGAACTCTGAACATCGAAGACACTTTTAGAGTCAAAACTGATGTACAGTTCCAAGAGCGAGAGCTGAACAAGTCTTTTCCGAAACAAGTGCTGTCAATCAAAGTGTTCATGCCCAGTGTTACAATCATAGAACAACACATGTTTCATAATTACAGCTTATCCGAGTGCACGTACTTGGGGCCTAAATTGAGAACGATCGCTCATTTTTTTGAGATCATATCTCAACATGTGGACATGTTGTTGACGGAGTGGTACCCCAACTTGGGTCAGAGACCCCAGATGATGGGAGACAGGTAAAATGGGAGAATTCTTTTCGCATTTTAGTTTATACTCAAACCAATTTCCCTCTATTAGATGCTCCAGACATTAAGAGAGTTTTGTTTGAAAGCGTGATTGATGTTTCTACATTTAGTTGTGGGGAGCACTCGATAGAAAGGGTCTTGCCCTGTCCCAATTGTCTGTCGGAGAGAGACAACACAGTGCTCCCAGTCACTCATCTTCATCTGCAGTGCAGTGTGGAAAGTGTGACCAAATTCCAGCAACGCAACAACACATCAGGCACCTGTGCTAGATCTTTTTCGATAACATTTTAAATTTTTTTTTTTAAATTAGTTAATTTTTGATTTAGTTTTTTTGAAAATCTAACCTTATCTTTTATTTGGCACAATTCAATTTTTTTGCAGCGAAAGCGATTTTGGCTATAGAAAGAAGGAACTTGCTTTTGTTTGTTTTTCCGGATGGCTACTTTTTCTTCTACTGTCAGTTTATATACTTGCCTGTTTGCAGCTATCTTCAAAGAAGTAGCGGCCAATAGGCGAGATACAAATGCAGACTCCACCTCCAGTTCTGAGGAAGAGGAAGACGGAAGGCCCCATAAGCAGAGAAAGAAACCACACTTTCACCAGGGTAGAGCATATTACATGGCAAGGCAACGATTTGTCGAAAGCCACAAATGGTCGAAAGCGACAGCTAATTCGTTGTATTTTAAAAAGCGACGATTTGTAGAGAGCGGCTATTTGCACCAAGCCACACTAAGTCCTGCCAAAAAACTTACTTTGATCAGAAAAAATTTAAGTTCTAACAATGAAACAACAAAGAAATATAAAACACGCGACTAGAATTCAATTAGAAAATCCCTCAGTTGTCAAAATGCGCGAACATAGTGGTCCTCTCTTGTGTTTTGCTTCAAAAAGGGCACTAATGGCAGCACGTTTGACACTGAAACAAAAAACAGGATTGAACAGCTTGACGGGGAAAATTTTTAACCCCCCCCCCCTTAAAACAAGCCTAACCCCCGACCTGAAAAAAATAGCTTTCTCAAAGCCACTATCTTATAAATTTCTGGAGTTCGCCCATTTCTCCTGGCAGAAAGGCGCGCCTAACTTAACTGTCATGCTCACCGTTTTTATGTACGATATCATCGTTGAAAGTTGTTCAAAATGTCTTACAAGGCTTTCTACTCCATCTCCATGTGGTTTTATTTGTGACGTTTTGTATTGGTTTCTTATGAAAGTTTGCCCAATTTGACCACCTTAGACGAAACGATGTGATTTTGAAAGATAAAACAAAAATTAATAATTTTCCAGGTACGAATTTGCCTGTTACGAATTATCGCCGGATCTACTTAACAATTGCCTTCCCTTTGGTACCTTCTTAAGAATTGCCAGCCCTATTAATAAAAGCAGTAAATTAGCGCTAGAGCTTAGTATTGAGACTTCTAATTTTGCTGCAATCTGTTTAGCGCTAGAGCTTTGTATTGAAAATTCTAATTTTGCTGCAATCTACTTAACAATTTCCCCTTTTTTTTTCTTAAAAGTGGAGGGGGGGAAATGTTAAGTAGATCCTTATCGCCTAAATAAATCGTTGCTTTTTCAAAAAAGTGCGAATGGTCGCTTTCGACCAATGTCGCTTTCTACGAGTTATCGCCTCACGATATTGCATGACTGTCTATAAAAATAACATCTCACAAAAGCATCATGTCTCCCAAAAGCCGTCTCACAAAAGCATCATCTTTTTGATGTAACTATTGATTGAACCAGGCTACGATGAAGAACAAATAATTTTGGAATAGTCTTGTTAGTCTACGTGAATTTTTTTTGTAAAAATTAGTCATTGAGCCAAATTGTTGAAACAAAAATTAACAAGTTGTGGGAAAACATGCAGACACTGCTACCGCTTACCATCAACTTTTTGATTGGTTAAAAAATCGAACAAACAAAAAAACAATCTCGGAGTTTGAATTAACCAACCTTAGCAAAAATTGTTTGATAATTCCTTGAAAACTTATCTGACAAAAATACAAAAACAAGACGAAGCCCTGAATGTTCTGATTGCCTTTTAAGGTTTATGGAGCACTTATAACATAAATATTATTAACAAATCAAATGTAATAAAAAAAATGGAAAATTTTTTTTCTAATTGAAATTTTTTCTATAAAAATTGCCCCCCCCCCACACGCCATATAAACTACAAAAGAATAAATTTTGTTCCTTGTTACACACCAATTATGGTAAATAAGCTTCTTTCAACCAATTTGGAACAATTTCAAAGACGGATTAAACCTCCGCTTACGCGTTAATAGCCGGAAATTTATCGCGCGATAATTGTGGTCAAAATAGCAATCTTTTAACCCCCATATCTTTACGAAAAATAATTACAGGTGGAATATCTTTTCAAATTCAAGCTCAGGACAAAAATGCTTTCTGAATGATTATAAAAAAACTCCGTCAAAAATATGTAGTTAAAATGTCGAAATTTGTCTGAAGAATTTCGAGCACAAATATTCCGTTACTTTCGTATTGAATGTCGGAACAATAAAAAACATTTTAATTCCTAGTGGTCAATTTCTTGCGGTTATACAGAGGCGAAGCTGTGCTGCGCAAACACTAGCAAGAAAACGACAAAAGAAGCTCTATAAGTGCACTAAGAAAAAGAAGAAATAATCTTCGACTTAGTAAAAACTCGGCCATGTCTCGGATTCGGTCTGCGACCTAGAGACTATGAATCCCACACACTAAATACTAAGTCACTGCTACTAAATAATACACTAAGAAAAGCCACATATAAAGCAGAGAACAGATGGTATGAAGTTTCTAATGCTACAAATCGTGATTATAGCAAGATAGCCACCAAATAAGCAAACTCTTTTAATGAAACTTTTATTTGCGAGTTAAGCTAGGAAAAAAGAAGATTCGCTTTAATATACTAACGCTCTCAAGTGTAAATCTATGCTGGTGAAAAATATATCGCTACTTCCAGAGAGCGATGTTGCAACCCCTACTCCGACACCCACAGACGAGGACAAGTGCCTCTCATTTGTCAAACGGGACAGTATAGACGACTCTGAGCAGCCAGCGCTTCGAATGAGGTCGGGCACTTCTAAACTAGACAGAGTGAACAGCAGACTACATAACGTCATGCGGTACTTTTTCTTTTTTCGTTTTCATCATCTCAAATCCCAAAAGTTAATCTTATCATAACTAAGACCTCAACCTTTTTTAGAGCTTTGAAAGTTAATAATCAACTATTGACTTAAGTCTCAACGCTAAATGTGTTCTAAAACCCCATTTCTCATAAATTTTCAGGGGCGAATTTAGTCGGGCAGCCATATAGTCATATAAAGGGTCGCCCTTTGGTACTATTTTACATCATCCATTTTGAGTCAACCGACCCTGAAATTCTTCTGAGCTAGTATGTGGCGACAAAATATGAAAATTTTGATGAGGGATCGCGCGCCGCCGAAAAACGCCATTTTTTGGATAGCACCTAAAAGGTGAACTATTTTTTTTTCAAAAAGATGCTTGAGGCGCAGATAATTATGGCTAAATAGGGTCTTTGTAGTGTTTTGAGAGAGTTCGGAAAATTAATTAGGCCTACCAAAACAAATCGAAAAATTGAATTTTGAAAATAGCCACCCACCGAGAAAACCCTAGATCCTTTTCTCTTTCTGCTTCAGAGCGTTGCTTGTTATTTTTTCCGCCTCTGCTATTTGAGCTGATCTTTGTTTGTGTGTTTTCAGACATCACATATTTTTGCTCAGTAGTTTTTTTATGTTTTGTTAGTTGTTGCATGCACAATTTATAGAATGGAATCAACTGAACGAAAAGTACAATAATGTAAATAGCTATGTGAGCGTTTCAGAAGATACACTTCGGCCATAGTTGCGGACACCTTAGATTACAGCCGAGACTGGAGAGAGTACCACGGAATAGACCAGGAGCACCCCCAGCAGCAGTACCCCACCGCCATGCCCCGCTACTCCGCCGGCTCCATCGGCACCATTTACTCAGAGTAAGTGCCAACTCACGCCTTGTTCATTATTCTATTGTATTAAAAATCGGCTTTTAAGTTGGCCTGTTATTTACGATTTAGGTATGGATCAGCTGCATCAATGCCCAGTTCCAGTGTGAGGTTCACCCATACCATGTCCATGCGCAAAAGCACAAAGAGATCCTTTGTTGCGGACACCATGTTTCCCAGACTGCACTGTTTCGTGGAGGAGGAGATTTTGCTGCTAGCCTGCTCCAGCCAGGTGGGTGCAAACACTAAAGCCCACGCAAAGGCTAATCATTTGACAATCATTCGAGTGATTTGTTTTTCATTATTGCATGAATTAAAAAACATATAAGAACATTTTCAGTACGAGGTTTTGGCTTATTCGTCAACAGACAAAACAAAATTAGAAACAGTTGAACTTAAAATCAAACGGCTTATAAAAATTATCTGTTTTAAGAGAAGAAATGAAAGCATCGAAGAAATAAGACAAAAACGAAAAATATACTTCGTAAAGGAATTACATATCTATGAATTATTAAAGTTACCATAAAAAGGTTTTGAGAACAGAGTGGATATCGACCATTGTCTAGGAAGCTGTAACTGAGAAAAATTTAAATACATTTTTGAATAAGAGAGCATTCGATAGGTAATAAAAAAAACTTCGATAATTGCTAGAATTAGAAAATACTACCCAGATTTTGTAACCAGGATTCAGAGCTGCACAGAATATCAAATACAAATCTTCAATCATGAGTTTTTGGGCAATTTTCTTCTAGGAAATTATCAACTGGTTGAACTCATTTTTGAGTAGAAATAACATTTTAAAAAAGAACATTTGCTGTCATAAGTAGGTATACTGCTGAAATTTCCCTCTTTTTCGCTTTAAACTTTTTCTTTCACTGAAATCATTTTTATTGATCTTGATTAACTATTGACGTTAAAAACCAACAGAAGTCATAGCAGGATCAGAGGCGCCTGAAAACGGGCTGCAAAGTTCCACGGCGTTCTCGCAAAGAGATTTCATGAGGTTGTAAATGTAGTAAATTTTACAGTGAATAGAATCTACATTGCAAACAATTTATTATGATTATTATTACAATTATCGCGAGGGAAAGGACCCGTATAAGCTCAAATGCTTTTTACGGAGAACTACAATTGTGCCTCTGCTTAAGAACTACACGCAACTTTTGGTTTATTTTTGTTTAAAATGAATTTAGTCATGGACCCAAACAATTATATTATTGCATTTTTTTTTTAAATTATGTTGTAAAAATTTTAATCACCACTTGTTTTTCGATGACTTGACTGTGACCAAACTATGTGGTAATTTATTGTACCAAAGATACCAATTGATACCTTATGAAAACTTTTGGTTTCAATACTCTCATTTTCATTCTCTTAAACGACATATTGAGTTCAGTTATGAAGACACCATAGCCGAGAGATCATAGAACAATTTTTGTAGGTCAACCTGAGCTGTCCAATTCACTGGGAGTTCGCGATTGACGAAGTCGCTCCTAATTTTCTCTTCATTGACCTTCCACCAGACAAAGTCCTGCCAAGTAATTTGGTCGAGCTCGAGAGGTATCTCGGCCAGGGGTGTTTCGGCGCCGTGTTCAGCGGTTACATCTCGGACCCCTCAGGGAGAGTGGAGGAACGGATCCCGGTTGCACATAAAGTTTATCAGCCAATCAACGTCGAAGAGAGGTTCCAGGCACCTATAGGCGATAAAGACGCTATTGTTAGTAATCAGAAACTCTGGATGTTTGACCCCTCGTTCAAAATTGCTGAAGCGTACGTGGAACTTCGGAAAGAAGCATCGGTTTTAATGGAACTGCAACATCCATACATTGTTTCCTTCTACGGAGCTAGCTTGTCGCCCATTGCTCTAATTCTGGATGTTGCACCAATGGGTGACTTAGCTGCTCAACTGGAGATTTTCAGGAGCGAAAACTCTTTGCTACCACCTCCTGTTGTTAAAGACATCATCTTTCAACTAGCAAGTGCACTTTCCTATTTACATGAGCACTCGTACGTCCATCGTGATTTAAAGCCAGCGAATGTTTTGGTCTGGAGCTTTCCGGCACCTCATCGAATGATGCGGGATCTACCTCTTAAAAACACCTGTTTGGTCAGACTCAGTGATTACGGAATGACACAAAAAGAAATTGGCGAGCAGATGTTGGGGAGACCAGGAACTCCCCAGTACATGGCTCCTGAGATCCTCCAAGACGAAGGACGCGAGATTTTCAACAATAAAATCGACATTTACTCTCTCGGAATGATTATTCATGACTGTAACTCTAAAACTTTCGTAAAATTGAAATAATTGAATAAAGTATACAAAAATTAGTTAGTGTGTAAATATAAAGTGTTTTCATCAAAAAAATAAAAAGTTCCTTGCTTCTCAAGGACTCATGTTCTGATCACGAAGAACTCCTGTTCTCATTCATCGTGCTTAGTTGTTTCTTCTTCTAAGATATAGCACAATCACTCAAAAACTAATATCTTTCAACTTTAAAAAAAAATTTCTTAAAACTCCAGCCTTTTCTTAACCTTTAACCTTTTAATTTAGAACTTGTCAAGGCCTATCGTTGTTTTAACAACCTAAGGTTTCCTTAAACCAGATCATCAAGGTTATCTATAGATCTTTAATTTTTCAACTTACTATTAAATTTTAAATCATTTTAAAATCATTTCCTTGGATCAATTGGAACAAGTTTAATTTCCCTACCTCATAATACTGGTGTATAAAGACTTCAAACAACGATTTATTCTCCTAAACTTACAAACGACCCAGGCCTATTTGAAGTTATCCAAATAACTAACCATTATAATTAAGATACTTCGAAGAACAGTGAAGAACTTCGGTTACCCATCCTTCACTTGAGCACCTTCTCTTAATCAACACAGGCAAAAACAAATATTAAAGTTAGTAAGATTTAAAATGGTATCAAAAGATTTACTTGTGTTCTAATTATACCTGAAACTTGTGGATTGAATTACTATTCTCCAATCCTTGAGAAATCAGAAACTATTATTCACAAATCAAAACCTAAGTAAGATTAAGTTTCTTAAAATACTTAACCTCTTCAGAAAGTATAATATCATTCTAGCGAAATGATATACCCTCTCTACAACCCGTCGATACTCGACAATCTGTCCCGCAGGATTCAGATAACCTCAAAAACTGTAAGGACTAACAGTTTAGGGAAAAAAACTAACCCATGGATTTTGCACACGACACTCTAACACTTATGTCAAGAGATAATATACGAAACAAACAAACAAAAATTTTCATAAATGTTTATGAAGAGAAGAAAGTAACGATCTTGTTACAGCGCATAAACAAGATATAGGATAAATCGGATCGAAAAAAAAGTAAAAAGAAGGCAGTAATCACAAAAAAAGGCCTTGAGTCAAAGTTTTCCAGAAAACGGAACGCAGTCTGGTTCAATACAAGAACTTCAAAACCTGCACAATCTAATCCACAACAAAAGTAAAGCAGTAGAAAATCAGAGATTTTTCTCAGAATCCGATTCCACAACAGCATCATCTATTAAAAGTAAACGTAGATTAAAAAAACTTGTATCTTCGCAAACCACTAAGACTCTATAATTGGAATCAACCATTAGAACACAGTGAAAATTACACATTAACTGTAATATCCCACAAAAAATCATTCAATACGATGATAATTTTGACAACTCTAGCTTTCCTTTTGTCGTGAATCCACAAAGCGATCCTGCATGAGGACAAGTACAACTTTGCCACAATTTAATCGTAAAATCATTTCAAAAACGAAATAATTCAAGTGAACAAGAATTTCCTGAAGTAAAACTAAAGAAAAAATACTTGATCACTACCTGCCAGAAATCCAAATTATCACTCGACATTACGGCATATTTATTTTTGATTTTCTACCACCAAAATCATCAAACCAACCATCACATTGATAACAAACAGATGATGGAGATTTAAATTTCTTAACAATATCAAAAATATTCAACATCAAAAATCACAAAAAGCAATATCAATTTTCACAACTGATGTTTTTCTATTATTTATAGCTATGTTTGAATGTGAAAATTTTTGTGTATAACCACCGCAAACATCTCGACACGCAATAGTAAGACAGGAAATATCACAATTAATTAAAACTAACCTACAAAGAATCATAGCCAGGTTCATCATGAATAATTTCTAACACAATGTAGACCTGAATTCACAAGCAAAAAAATGAAACAATATTAGCAGACAATTGATGAAAAAAAATTTGCAGACAATTGATGAAACAATATTAGCAGACAATACAGATTATGTATAGGACCCTGTATTATTTTTTTAACATCGTAAATGATATTTCAAGTGCTGCATTTATAAGTATATCCGTACACAGAGATTATCTAAGAGTAGCTCCTTTAACAACTGACACCACAACCTTAAATTATAACGCAAAATTTATTCAAAGGACAAGCAAAAAAGTTTAAATTCAACATTTCTCAATACACAGGAAACCCTTAACGGTACCAAAAATTTTACACAAAAAGATATGCAAACTCCATCACATTTTTAAAGCGAAGAACTAGTTGAAACACAACCTATAAGAACACAACAAACTATCTCTCCTATTCATCCAACACTTACACCACCACACAAAAAAAAACTCCTTTTCCACCAGTAAACTTACAATCAACAGTCAATTCATCAGTCGTCCCAAAATATTTACATATGGATTAACGAACAAATAGACCAATAACTAAAAAGCGATAATGACAAAAAGGACACTCAATTTGAAATACCTTCGCAAGACATAGTTATGATTTTTTCGCAGATAATAACATTAGTTATCCAATAGCACGACCCCTCTATACAACACAAAATCAATTTCAAAAACACAATTATATCCAACAGGCACCAAAACCAATAACCCAATGTGTAACTTTTAGTGACAAAAAAACTTCAGACAGATTGAACTGAAAACTATCCATTTTTTCAACAAAATAAAAACTCAACCCGAAAAACAAGCAATTCATTAGAAACCAAGCAGACACCTCTGAAGATGAAGATTACTTTCATCAAAACCAACAACAATACAAAGCAATTAACAAAAAATCACTGGAATACTATAGTTCAACCAGGTGATAATTTTCAACCAGAGATTTTCGAACCTTACATAAACTCTCAACAACCAAGGCAATTACAACAACAATCTTTTCAACGACAACAGATTCTGGATACTCAGTAGAAGACGACTAGAAGTGCTGTTAAATCTAACCTAATCCTAAACAAAGGCCCGAAACCTATAAACACACCACTTCATCAAAAATGGGTTCACATCGCACAGCACTGATGCAAACCACACTCGATGGCGGAGCCCGAAAATGGTTTTCAGTAACACCACTAGAAGTTAAATCCGATTGAAATTTATTGACTCAACGTTATTCAAAAACATTTGACTCTGAACGAAATAAACAACATCAAAAAGTTTTGTGCAACGAAAGTTGTAGACTTCCGATTGAAACCATAAAACAAATCGCAGTAAGAAACAAAACCCTAGTACGCAAAACTTATTCTTTCAATCCTTATGATTACAAAAATATGAAAGTGAGATAAATTCTAATGATGACCTTAGCACCACAATTAATAAAAAGAATCACAAGCATCATAAATCCGAGAATCCTAAATAGATTTCGAAAAATTCGAAGTTGAAATCATCAGGAAACTACAAGAAAAAGAAAATTTAAAGCTACAAAAATAGAAAATGTTCAAACAACTACTTCCCATTTAGACAAAATTCATGACTTCGACAACGAATTAGCAGAAAAAATTACTGAAATCCTGAACGTCTATGAAAAGAATCCAAATTTTGAGGGCAAGCCTTCATTCAAAAATGGTGTAACTATTGTCGCAGATTCGGACATAGCATTGCTGAATGTAGACACAAACAACAAGATAACTTCAATAGACCACCAAAAAACAGAGAACCAAACATACCTTTTTACCAATACATGATAAAAGACCAGAGTTTTCTGAACAAAGGCCTGCATAGTAATAAAAGCTCAGGAAACCCACTCCCAAATAGCTATAATATTAAAAGATCAAAATCCCCCTGCTCTAAAAATTTTCGCGGAAGACCACTAGATCGACGATATTCACAAAACTGTTCACAAAATCGATATAGTAGATCAAATAGTCAAAAGGATCAGTACAGAAATAATTACTCTAGATCGAACTCTAAAAGAATTAATTACTCAATTTATAATAAAAATTGCTCATATTCAAACCGTTGGAGTAAAAACTATCCCAAGGACCGCTCAAGAATTTCTACAAACGACCGCAATCGAAATAGATACTACTCTTACAATAACTCACAAAACTATTCTGACAATCGACCGCACAATAATTAATTATAAAACTAGATCCCGTGATAATTCTAGAAATACAAACAGCAACTCAGATCAAAGCAGATCAAGAAAATTTTCTCAGTCTACGTATCGAAACAACTCACAATATTCAAGTCGACAAAATCAAAACTACAGAAGTAGTACACCAAAACACCAACGACAAAAAAATCAAGTAAAATCTAACAATCAACAAATGAAACAATCCCAGAACAAAGAGACGGTAAAACACTCCTCTGGCTTCACCCACCAGAACAACGTCGCTTCTGGTACATATGCCCACCATGTGCTAAAATCCCAACCCTCAACGCTCAATTTTTACTAGGAGTAGCTCTGGAGTGAGCGATTCTTTAAAATAACCTTAAAAAATTTCTAAACACCGGATGGGTGGAACCAGTTCAAAACAAGTATTTTTTAAATTTTTTTTTTGATAAACTATCTCTGTGAAAAACTTAGAAACAACCAATCATGATCCATAACTAACACAATTACAATAATTTGTATCAAAGCAGAATAAATTCAACTTAGCAAACTTATATATATTAAAAATGAAACAATATTAGCAGACAATTGATGAAAAAAAATTTGCAGACAATTGATGAAACAATATTAGCAGACAATACAGATTATGTATAGGACCCTGTATTATTTTTTAACATCGTAAATGATATTTCAAGTGCTGCATTTATAAGTATATCCGTACACAGAGATTATCTAAGAGTAGCTCCTTTAACAACTGACACCACAACCTTAAATTATAACGCAAAATTTATTCAAAGGACAAGCAAAAAAATTTAAATTCAACAATTCTCAATACACAGGAAACCCTTAACGGTACCAAAAATTTTACACAAAAAGATATGCAAACTCCATCACATTTTTAAAGCGAAGAACTAGTTGAAACACAACC